AATAGGAAAGGGTGGTGGGGGTGAAGGGTACATAGGTAATGGGGAAAAAAATAAGAACTAAGATACATCATGTACAGGTACAAAGACCCATTGATAAATGTAAATGTATTGTATACCTAAAATGTACCAATTAACATATTTAAAAAAAAAGAATATGGGACTCAGAATCAGACAGTGGTTTTCCAGACCTGGCTCTATTACTAAATATGCACAAGATCTTAGGAAATTTAATTTACCTTTCTCGACTTCAGTTTCTTCATGTGCAAAATGGGGGTCAAATTAGGTGCTCACATTGGGGTTTTCAATGTTTGCTACTCTACAATTCCAGAATCTCATATCCCTAACTATACTGTTAGTACCTTGAAAACAGGAACTATAACCCCAAAGTATTGACCAAAGTTTCTTTATATTAGAATCATCTGGAGCATTTGGTGAAATACAAATTGTTAGGCACTACTTTCAGAGCTTCTAAGACACAGTCTTCAAGTGTGGAGCCTGCATTCTTGCTTCCACATGAGAATGACTGCATTCAGTATATGATTTACATAAAGTACTATTCGGTGAACCACTGTTGATTGCCAAAGCTGCTGGGACAGCAAAACCAGGTGATTCAATAAAATAAACCAGCAAAGCTAGGTAAAATGGGGCAGTAAATGGGTTTCTTCAAAACACAAAACATATTAAAAGGTATGAAAACAAGCGAAAGGAAGCAGCAACTCTGTTAAGTATCAGAACTATCAGCATACTCTATATATTTAAGGTTTAGTTGGTTCCTTTGTTTCTAGTAAATAAAAATACAGTACTAGTCCTAATATACAAAGCCAAGATTTTAGTAGTCTCATTTCTCCAAAGCATAAATTGTATTGGACATGGAACAAAGTCAACAAAAAAATGTTTCCAATTTAGGAAATAGGCAATCATTATGCCCCTGAATTAAAACAAAGAATTTCTTTCTGCTTTTTCAGGCAGGATTTCTTGGCCTCTTCTTTAGTATAACTGCTAAAAGGCTTGGCTATCTGTTTTTTTTTTTAAGCACTAATAAGATGAAAACAAATCAATGTAAACGGGAAAGGTAACAACTAACACTGTGGATAGAGATAAAAATTAGAAAGCAGGTACAGAATGAATATAACAAATGTTATTTATAAAAATCAAAAGCACCAAAAAGGAATGAATTTTTAGCATTATAAGAAAATTTACCATACATTTTTAGAATTAAGTCTTAAAAAGCTTTAACACTTGAAGAAGTAAGATTTACTTATTTAAAATCTCCTTATTTTGAACATCTTTCATGAAATCGGATATATGATGAGTTAATACTACAGAATTGTTTTGATTTTCCATATTGGAAGGAGGAACAAAAAGATACACATATGCCAAGATTCTAAGGATGTAGAAGTCCAATTCTGTAGTCCTCAGTCCTAGAGATTACTGTAGAAATGCTTAGAGAAGGTGGAAAGGCTCAGAGTACATTAAGATAAACAACCTTGCAAAAATAATTAGGAACATGCTCTACTTCAAGATACATGTTTCCAGGAATAAGAAACAATAGCCAAATGTAAAACAAAATAAAAAGGGGTCCTACCAAGAAATCAAATATCCTGTGTAGTACTGAAATATTACAAACTAAGTCACTTCTAGTAATGATATTCTCTAGATGTGATGGGATTTGAGTCTAAAAATTGTTAGGACTCTATTAAAGAGCTCTAAATAGGGTATGTATGACTCAACATGAATTACAAAAGAAAAATTGGCTATGGAGTGGAGACTGGTTTAGAAAGCAGCAAGACTTCAGGAAGAAAAACTGATTCAAGGATCTCACAGTGGGTCAAGTTGTAAGTAGGAAAGTGGGAGAAAAGTGAATGATTCCAAGGGACGTGGAAAGTAAAAATGACAGATCTTGGTGATTAAACCTGGAGAGTGAAGTTTAGAAAACTAGAAAAAAATGATTCCAAGATTCTGGTTTAAACAACTGGATGCATGGCAGTGCCATTGACTAAACAAGGGAAAATTGAAAATGGTTTCTGTTCATTCATTTGTTTGTATTGTTTGTTCTTTAAGGTGAGGGTAGGAGATAGAGATGATGAGATAACCATGAGCATGCTTAGTTTAAGGAGTCTGTGGAATAACCAAGCAGACATGTTCAATTGGAGAGGAAGACCTGAGCCATTGGTATTGATCCAAGGTAATGACACCATCGGAATGGATGAAGTCACCAGAGCTCCATATGGTAAAAGAGCACATAGGAGAAAATAAAGAAAAACACTGACAATGGAAGGAGAAGCGAGGAGAAAGAAGACTACAAAATATGTTTGCACACGAAGACCTTTGAAAGAGTTGCACAATGTCATGAGAAATGTTGTAGAAAGCACAACCACTAAAATAGGAAGGAAAGCAGATATTTAGTATTGACAGCATGTCTGGATCCTCTTTGCTGGGCCAGTGAAACCATGGCTGAGCCACTTAAGTGAATCAGCATTTGCTGAAGGCAGCCGCCCCACCAGAGAATGCCCGCCGGTAGGCTCTGCCTTGCTGCAGCAGACCCACAGGGCATGCCTAGTGGGGAGGAGGCTGCAGAAGCTTGGGCCCTCACTCAAGGTCAGACTCTCCTGCAGTGCCATTTAGGCTTGGTAGCTCTCCATGGGGTCAAATTAAGGCTACACTTCCAGTGAAACACTACCTTTGCTTAACTCCTCCCCTTTCCCTATTTCCCTGCCCTTACTTCCTTAGTTTTCCCCGGAGAGCACTCTCTCAGCATCCTTCTTTCAGCAAGAATCAATGAATGGGATCATATCAAATTTAAAAGCTTCTGCCCAGAAAAAAAAACCCAAGCGAGTGAAGAGACAACCTACCGAATGGGAGGAAAATTGCCAGGTGTGCCTTGGGCAAAGGACTAACATCTAGAATACATAGAGAACTCAAAAAATTAGACCAAAACTAAAGGGCCCAATAAAAACAATGGGAAACTGAAATACATAGACACTTCTCGGAAGAAGTACAAATGGCCAATAAATATATGAAAAAATGCTCAACCTCTCTGGCCATCAGAGAAATGTAAATTATAAGTATGTTAAGATATCCTCTTACACCAGAATGGAGGGCTATCAACAAAAAATCAAATAATAAGAAATGCTGATGAGGCTGTGGGGAGAAAGGAGCCCTCCTACGCTGTTGGTGGGAGTGTGGACTGGTACAACCACTATGGAGATCAATGCAAAGATTCCTCAAAAACCTAAAACTAGAAATTCCATCTGATCCAGGTATTCACCTTCTAGGTGTCTTCCCAAAAGAGTTAAAGTTATTACAGTGATACATGTACACCCATGTTTATAGCAGCACAATATAGTAACTAGCTCTTGGAAAAAGCACATATATCCATCAACAAATAAATGGATAAAGAAAATGTGATATTTACACACAATGGAGGACTACTCTGTCATAAAGAAGGAAAATTTCAGTCATCTGTAGGAAAATGGATGCATCTTGAGACCACTATGTTAAGTGAAAAAAACAGACACACAAGCTTAAATGTCATTTGATTTCTCTTATATGAGAAACTATACATATATATATATATATATATATATATATATATGTGCACATGGAGAGAGAGAGAGAGAGGGAGAGAGAGACCAAAGTAGAAGATAGATAAATAAGAAGTAGGGGGAAGTCCAAATAATTCCCCAAATTATCTATGCCATTGTTGCAAAAATACTTTACCCACTTACCGATCCAATTATTTAAATACAAGATGACTAAGAATTGCATATTTTCCCATTAATTTTTGTAAGATAATATAACAGGAAATATAAAAATAACAAGTATGAGTGCGTCTCTCGCAAACAAGAATGGACTAGTTGAAATGACACCTGCCTAGGCCACCCTCTGGATAGTTAAGTACTTAAACCAACAAGTGGGGCTTTCGGCAAACTGTTAAATGTTTAATGTATATGCTAATTTGGTTGATTTATACTATTAGCCTTCCTTAGTTCACTGAAGAGAAAGTTTTGTGCTTTTATCTGTTTATTTGTTCTTTGTAAGAGTCTTTTTTCAACTATTACTTATACTCAGTAATAATTTGGCCATTCTTTTAAGATTATGATGCACAGTGTATTAACTATTATTAATCTCTGAATATTTTATTATAAAATTTTGCTTTATTTTTCATTAAAGAATGCTTTCTATATTTTCTTTATTAATATCCACCTGTATTCCATTAAAATAAATAAAATAATCCTTTTGTCATGCCTTACTTAATCAAAACACCCAGAAGTTGTGTCTCTGGAGTCAAAGAAATAATTACAGTAACAGTACATGTGTACATTTGATGCATGTGTCTGTATGTATGCTTTATTGTATGACTTTGAAAAGTTAAGGAAGGAAAGGTCCACAACCTTGAATATTGTTCCATGCCACTAAAGGAACTGAATAATAAGGGCAGACGATTGTTCATGTTACCAGCAGAGCCAACACTTGCTGTTTGGTTACAGAAGTTGCCTTAGGGTCATGGGCTGAAGTCAGACAGCGGTGGGTGAAGGAATGGGTGAGAGGCAAGCAGGGACAATAAAACAGAGCACTTTCTGAAGAAGTATGGCTGTGAGGGGAAGGAAAGACTCATGGCAGTATCCAGAGAGCAGATTTTTAAGTTTAAGATGGGAGATTCCTAACTGTGTTTAAATGCTAAATGACCAGAGCCAATAAAAAAGACAAGGTGAAGACCTAAAAGAGAAGAAATGAAATTCATAGGAAAAGGCTGGCGAGAACTGCTTTTAAGATATCACAGAGGGGATGTAAGCCTGGGATAAGGAGTTGTCCAAGAGGACTTTGACATCACTTTCCACCTGGAGGGTCTGAGCTGTCGTGGTTTCCTCAAATACAGGGTGATGTATAAGTACTCAAGAGCAGGGCGCTTGGGCTCAGGTAGGGGAAATGACTGAAGTGCTTATCTGATACAAGCATTTAAAGCACTCATCCTTCTTCCAACAGTTAATGCTTCTTACCCTCCGATATCTTGCTTCACAAAGTCCCCAGGTTCTTGCCGTCTTGATTCCCCTTGGCCAGTGGTTGCAGGGAGAATACTAAGCAGGAAAAGAAGCCCAAGGCTGGTAGTGTAGACGTGACACATTTGTGTGATTATCATCTTAGGCACCAACTTGGAGAGACCTGTCAGAGCCACAGTACAGGGGAGGGGGAAGGACAAAAGAGTAGAAGACAAAGGAAGGGAGGAGGAAAAGGTAAAAAAAATTATTAAACTCTATTGGAACCATTTAACTTCTACAGTATCCACTTACTCAATGCTTAACTTGACAGCCCCTTTGCCCTGCTTATCAATACAACCAAAATTCATTCCCAACAGACACTTATTCTGAATACATGGGAATACATCCAAAACAGATGAATAGAATAGTATAAAGAGCTCTACATCAGCAACCAAGAGTCTTAAATTATAGTTCCACCTCTTTCCCTGTCTTCCCATATGGGTGAGCTATAGAATTGCACCCTCAGTTACTTCTTAAAATCTAAGAGCTTAAAATTATTCCTCATGTCTTCGTTTTACTTTCCTTCAATCCTGTTTTATTTGTAGCATCACAAAGGACTTTGCCTTGGTTAATTGTGTTATGATGTATAAAATTCTAATATATTAAAACCTGGAGTCTCTTTATAGCATTTTTCAGATTGATTTTTTATATTGATAGAGCTAAGCAATTTTCCACAATGTCTGAGTGTCTGGAATAGATATTGTTTTTTCTGAATCAGGATGAGAAAATACTGAATGATGACACACCATGGATTTGGAATAAGAATACAGTATTTCCTCAGTTAAGAGAAATTTGAGGGGAAAGCAAGCTTCTTAAGATAGGAATTACAACATAAAGAAATCCAAGCCCAGCATCCTGGCATAGAAGTTCCTAAGAAGTCATCAAAATACATCAATAGTAGAATCTGTGATTTGGAATTGCCTAACATGCAGGGCTGGCTGGTTTACGAACTCTGGACTAGTAGAGGTTTACTCAAGACATGGTGTTAAGAAAACAACCAATATGGGCCGGGGATTTAGCTCAGTGGTTCTGCCGCCTGCCTCGCAAGCACAGGGTCCCAAGTTCGATCCCTGGTACTAAAAAAAAGAGAAAGAAAACAGCCAATAAACTTACACTTACTTGCTATCTCTAAACTGTGTTGCTTCCTTCAATTTGAAACACTGAGCACATAAAGAAGGCCTAACTCTGAGTCAATACTGCTCTTTTTCAGTCGTATCAATAGATTAATTTTCAGAGAGAAAGGAGGGATATTGAACCATGTGTGAGGAAAGCATATGCAGTAGTTCAATATGCAAAACAGATACAGGCTAGAGAGCTATTCTGACTGGCAGAAAGATTAAGAGAAATACCTCCTTCTAAATCTATCCCCCCAAAATTACTCACTGGAGTCTATATTTGGCTAACTTCAGGAACCCAGTTCTGGTATATGAAAAACTGTAGTAGTAGAGAAGATGGATTTCTGACATGACAAGAGGTGTACACAAGTGGTAGATATAACTGTGGTATTAGATTGTACTATATGATGTACTCAATATTTGATAATTTTTGTTACAGAAAACAGAAATTTCTTAGGTTTAACCTAATATATGTGCCATGGCATTCATTATTCTTGAGATGTAAAAGAGTGTTGGATATTTTACACAAATGAACAGAAACTGACAATTCAGAAAAATACTGTGCATGAGAAAATATGGTGCATGATCAGACAACTCTGGAGCATAAGCAACATCCACAGTATAGATAGTAACCCTGTTGTGTGCTCAAATACCCACAGTGCCTCGCAGACTCTGATGTTGCATGATCACATGACAAGGGTTAATGCTCAGATAATCGTGATACAGGAATTGGAATAGACAACTATTCTACAGGAACAGAGGGAATGTGGTACACGATATAAAGTCCAAATTCTGAAAACAAACCATAGACTATAAGACATAACCATAATGCGTGCTCAGAAAACATGAGTTCATGAGTAACAGCTGTGTGTAAAAATGAATATGACCATGCAGCATGAATGATACATGTTCAACTATGCTATTTCAGTACATAGCTATGGGCTATGCTTCAATTATAGTACATAAGTAGCAAGCCAACACACTAAGAATAGGTGACGAGGACACAAAAAAAGTGTTCACGATTTGGGAAGAAAAAAGTATGATACACAGTATGATGTATGAGAAGATAATATTATATGAAATCAAATCTAATTATATGTTCAAATAACCACTATGACTTAGAAAATTGTCATCATACACTAAAATTTAGAAGAGGTTGGACATAATATGTACCCCTCTGGCAACCATAGCATTTGATAATCACATGTGTCAGAAAATCATTGTATATGAGTCTAACAATTAGGAAACAAGAGAAGAGCTCATTGATATATACTCTTAAGATGGACTGTACAATGAAACACATGCCACTGGGCTGTGCACAACAGTGTGGATATACTTCATGCTACAGAACTGTATACTTAAAATGGTGATAGCACATTTTATATGTTTTGCTGGAATTAGAAGACAATTTATAAAAAGCATGTTGCTTGAACAGGAACAGAGAGCATTGGCAAGGTAGTAAGTATTCACGGAATGGGACCTGTATCTGTTATTTGTGCAAAGAAATATGGCTCTTTAACAGGTATTGCACTACCCATCCATGGTACATGCTCAGGCCACTATCAAACACACACAAAGAAAGAATTGGCAAAATGGCACTCAAAATAATTACTGTGAAAAACTTGGTAATAGTCCAAGTGACTGTGGTGTATCACTAACTGTGACAGTGGACTGTGATCAAGTATAGCTGGAGATAATGATGGTATATGCTTAGACAATTGTGATGCACAAGAACAGGTACTTGGAATGTCTCTCCTTGACAATGTGTGTATCGTGGTAACCATAATACATGAGCAGATCGCTATGCTATGGGAGCAGACAGGAATAGGAACAAAAGCAGAAACACGGTGCAGGAACAGATGATCATGGTTCAGACATGGTCAGAAGTTTTTCACGGGAGCAGAGAGGTAACATAGAGATGAAAATGGCATAATGAAGAACTGATGTCTTTGGGGTAATAATTATTATGGTGAATAAATAATCTAAAATATATGAACATACAAATATCGTACACACATCCATGGTAAATTGAAAATTGCAGTAAAGGAATATCATGTAATAATTTGAATATGAAACTATGATACACAAGAAGAAAGTGAAATCTAATCTTTGTTTTAAAATTGGTGTGAGGAAGCCAAACCACAATGTAAAAGAACTATGTGTGTGTTTGTATCAGTACAGAGCACAGCAAAACACCACTAGCATATGCCTGTTTTAGTGTAAAGTGGCTAGGCTTACATAGTCGCAGTGTCTGGATGGATGATCTGTGATATGATATGTGAACACGGTGAACACATAATCATGACACATACTCAGGCCACTATAATGGAACTGCATAGCCAAATTAGCAAATGGTTTCCCATTCACCCCACTGAAGAGCTAAGGAGAGGACTAATGACAAAGAGGAAAATACCATCTATAAAGCTGATGAACTACAAGTTAATGCTTCCATTCCAGATCTCCTCTGGAATCCATATTTCTATCTGTTCTCCAGGGAAGTGCTCATATCGTAAGCCCAGTGTTAACACATGGCTAAGACCTAGCATGTTCAAATCTGAGGTCCACAGAGTCACACTCCCCACCTACACAGATTTGTTCCTCCTGCAGTCTTTCCCGTGCCGAGTAATAGTTCCATCCTCCCACTAGTTCAGAGTGAAGACTGATGTCATTCTTTTACTTTCATACCCTACATCCAATCTATCAGCAAGTTCCACTGATACTCCATTCAAAAGGAAACAGATCCACAATAAAAGCATTGCTCATCACCACCTTTGATAGAGTGTGGCCCATCATCTCATCAAGATTATTGCAAAAGCAAATCAAGTGGTGTTATTGCCTCTGCCTTTACTCCTCTACAATCTGTACTCCATATCACAGCCAGAGGGAACTTTTAGGTTGTTACATCAGTCATGTCTCTCCTCTGCTGAAAATCCTCTCATTTCTTCCCAATACAAAAACCTCACAATGATCCCCAAGGCCCTATATGATCTAATCCCCAAATAGCTAGATAACATTATCTTCTACTCCCCTCTCCTCTCACACACTCCACTTCAGCAACTGTGGCCTCCTGGCTACTCACTGAATATATCGGGTGTGCCCCTGTCCCAGGATATTTGCTCTTGCTATCGCCTCTACCTAGAATTTTCTCCACTCAATTTCCAAATAGTTTGTTCCTTCATTTTCTTCAAATATCATCTTTGCATTGCGGCTTTCCCTGGTCACTCTATCTAAAATTTCAACCTTTCTACACATTCCTGATAAATTCCTATGCAATTGCTTGCTCTATTTTTCTTCCTTTGCACTTCTCATATACATTTTATGTATTTTTGTTATTGTCTACTTCCTGAATAAAATATAAACTCAGCAAGAATAAAGGGTTTTGCTTGTTTTATTCCAAGATATAGAGTTATCCCTTGGTATCCATGAGGGATGGCTTTCAAGACCCCTGCAGATACTGAAATCCATATATGTTCAAGTTTCTTACATAAAATGGGCAGTGTTTGCATGGAACCTATGCATACTCTCCCATATACAGATACATATATGTTCATGAATGCTTCTCTTCATGAAGAGTTCAGTTGGCAAACAAGTTCAGCAAAATTTCACTTCTGTTTGCAAACTCCGCATCCAGGGATGAACACGACCACAGCCATCTTCCCTGCAGGAACACGAATGCTGCCATCTTCCCCAGAATTGTGGAATTAATTAAGTTCGCGAACCGAGATACCATTGTACTTTCAATCACCTCTGGCTTACTTATAATACCTAATACAAAGTAAATTCTATGCAAATAATGGTATTGTTTTGGGAATAATAACCAGAGAAAAGGGTATATATATATATATATATATCCAGTACAGATGTAATTTTTAAAAATATTTTCAGTCTGTGGCTGGTTGAATCTGTGGATGCAGAACTTGCAGATATGGAGGGCTGTGTGCCAAATGCATAGAACAGCATCTGAAGACATGAGCACTTTTTAAATAACAGATGACAGAGTGACTGCTAT